TGAATTCTGAGTTCCAGAAGTGATTGTAGATATCGTGAGCTTCTATTATTGTTTTCCTGAATTTGACACCCAACTGAGTAATGCTGTTAATGTTCCCAGACCCTCAGCTATATGGCAGAGCGCATTCTAGGCAATGGATCTTTTGGAGTCGTGTTTCAGGTATATCATTTGGATTTTTGACAATTCCTGAGATCCTTATCTTTCATAAATTACATGCGGTAAGCATTTACATCTCAGGCACGATGCTTGGAAACTGGAGAGACAGTTGCCATAAAGAAGGTCCTGCAGGATAGACGATACAAAAATCGTGAGCTGCAGTTGATGCGTGTGATGGATCATCCAAATGTGGTGTCCCTGAGGCACTGCTTCTTCTCTACAACAAACAATGATGAGCTTTTCCTTAATTTGGTTATGGAATATGTCCCTCAGAGTCTCTACCAAGTTCTGGAGCATTACAGGAGTATGAATCAGCAGATGCCGCTGATATATGTGAAGTTATATACCTATCAAGTATGAAGAGTGCTGTCATTTTCATATCTGTCTTTGGTATCCTCCGGTCCTCGTCTTAAAAAATGGAATGTATATCGCAGATCTTCCAAGGGCTGGCATATATCCATTCCGTGCCTGGGGTTTGCCATAGGGATGTAAAGCCACAAAATATTTTGGTAAGGGGCCTTCAGCCTTTCCTCAATTTCTAGTTAAGGTTCTTTTTTTCTCGAATGAAATTGTCATTCCTGATATTTTCCTGCATATGTTCTGCAGGTGAATCCTCTCACTCACCAGGTCAAGCTTTGTGACTTTGGTAGTGCAAAAGTTCTGGTACATCCTTATCTTTGTCTATTATTTTGTCGGTCTTCTTTCAATAAATGAGAACAGGGGAATCTAGAGCACAAAAGTTAACCCCTACATTGGGTCTGGATCTGAGTGTATTTGATAACTTAATCACAGAGCAACTGTTTTATTTTCCCTGCAGAGTTTGAATTGCATCTTCTTCATTTCCAGATTATCTGCCTCTGTTTTGTTACATATATGTATATTAAACAGGTCAATGGCGAAGCAAACATATCCTACATATGCTCCCGCTACTATCGGGCTCCAGAGCTTATATTTGGTGCAACAGAATATACCACATCTATCGACATATGGTCTGCTGGTTGTGTTCTTGCAGAGCTTCTTCTGGGACAAGTTGGTGACCTTGGCTTATAGATTCGATAACATCTGTATCTGCTGCTCGTTAGTCCTGATGATTCCATTTTTTTTTTTTGTAGCCACTCTTTCCAGGAGAAAATGCAGTGGACCAACTTGTAGAGATCATCAAGGTGAATCCTCATTATCTGTTTTGATTGTTGTCTTCATTCACGCGTTCTAAGGGTTTAATTAAGGACCTTGTTGTAGGTTCTCGGTACTCCAACGCGAGAAGAAGTTAGATGCATGAACCCTAATTATACAGACTTCAGATTTCCACAAGTCAAGGCTCATCCTTGGCACAAGGTATTTATTCTGGTTTTTTATGCCAATATGGCATTTCCTTTCTGGTTAATAGAGACTATTTTAATCACTTATTCAGAGCTGAAGATGTCTTTGCACAAGTTTGCAATTAACATCCTCAATTCTTCGATTAGTTATCTGATTTATTCCATTTCCAACTCCGAGTGCCAAAATAGGTCAAGCATCATCCTCAGCATTCTTTTGTAGGTCATCATTAGATATGATGCTGCCAACATATGCAGCATATTCTAATAGATGAATGCGAAAGTTAGTATGGTCTGTTTTATGGCATTATAAGGGATGATATTTGGTGATCCTATCGCAGCTGTGGGAACAATATGGCAGCATAATTGCCTCTCCTAAGTTGTTTGTACATGTCATTGACAATCAAGTATAGACATTTGAACCATCTTTGGATCCTGTGTTCCGTCACAAGGTTCAAATATTACTGCTGTTTTGACTGTCACACACCTTTTTATGCCCTTGGCTGAATTATTCATATCTGTTATGACAAGTGATATTGAAAAACTTTAAGGAGTCCATCTTGTACTTTGGTTTTTCATGCTTCAGTAGTTAATAATCTTACATATTTCTTGGTCCAGATATTCCACAAACGGATGCCTCCTGAAGCGATTGACCTTGCTTCAAGGCTTCTTCAGTATTCACCAAGTCTTCGCTGCACCGCCGTGAGTTAAACTACTCTCTCCATTATTTTGATTTTCTTTATATGTATATTTTCACATGAGAATCTGTCGGTCTTACTTATTGTCAAGAATTGAACTTTGACGAATGAGTATTGAATGTATGCATGCTTTTGCTCTCTTGTGGGTTATTGGGAGCTAAGTAATTATATAGTTTCCTGAACATCTACCACTCCCCTATTTGGCTAATGTTCTTTTTTCGTTTAATTTCATTTCAGCTAGAAGCTTGTGCCCATCCCTTCTTTGATGAGCTTCGTGAACCAAATGCACGCCTTCCGACTGGTCGCCCCTTGCCCCATATTTTCAATTTCAAGCAAGAGGTTTGTGTTTTGATGGATTGACTTGTTCAAAAATTCGTGATTGTGTCTATGGCAGTTATGGATTATTTTGCTCTTATAGCAATGTGAGCTCACAACACGTAAGGATTATTTTGTTTTCATAGCAATGTGGAGTTTCTGGATAGTCAATGATAATCAAATGTAGCGACTTGATTGACTTGGACATATGATTTTTTTGACTGCCTGCTGATAAAGTTTCCTTTCATTTTTTGCCCTTATTCTGCTTTTTAAGTTTGCATGGTCCAACTTTACAAGCCACTCACTGATTCATTAAATGCACTTCAATTGTTGAAAAGTTACCGCGCTGAAGGAGGTTTTACCAATGCGACAGATAGTTAACCTTTGGTGCAATGACACATAGAGGTCTGAAAGTCAAAAGGGTGGAAACTGTATTCCATGAAATTAAACAAAAACAAATCTGCTCTTGGGTTGATCGGTTTTGTTGAAAACATGTAGCAAAGAATAAGCTGGTTGTGGGTTTAACTTGTTGACCTAACCAGATTGACTGTACTTTTTTTGTTTTTTTGGTCAAATGATTGACTGTACTTTGGACTATTCCTTTTTATCGTGTTTGTCCAACTTCTGCATTGATATTCCTTTTCTTTTAACAATTCATATTGACATTGCCGATGCTTAGAAATATTCGTCGAACTGGATCCAACAATAGAAACTATGTTATAGTCTTTTGACTGTAAGTTCTAAGTTGGGGCAAATAGTGTGAATGGAATACTCCTGTTTTGTCTGACATTTTGCCTGCTTCCAATCCATGTACAGCTGTCTGGGGCTTCACCTCAATTAATCAACAGGCTAATACCAGAGCACGTGCGACGATTGAATGGCCTCAATATCCCTCATCCGGTTGGTATGTAAATGGAAAGATAAGCTAAGTTGATTTTCCCCAGAGCTAAGGGAAGGGACGTAGGCAAAACCGCAAGAACTTTTGTGAGAGCATTCTGGTAAAATCAGCAGTTTTTCTCACCCTGCAAGTTGTATACATGTACCGTCTTTACAGCTTTTCTAGTGTCTTTTACCGTCTTTACAGCTATCTCTAGTGTCTGTATTTCATTTCAGCTAAAAATATTGTACTTATGTTGTAAATCTTGTGATGTGAAAGAGGGAAAAGAAAGAATAGAAAGCTTGTAGTCTAAATGTGTAATGCAATCAATGTTATGAGCTGTGTAGGGCTGTCAGACCAGAGAAGTCCACGTGGCTCCATTCAAATAGCGTGGTTATATTTTCTAAATGAATTTAGTTGGTATCAGATAGAAATGGTGACAATGAGCAGCTGTGCTAGATTCAAAGGTTGAAGTAGCTATATATCTTATTGTGTTGCCAGACATTTAGCTGTTCAGTCACTTCGGCTTCGTAGAGTGATTCCAAAAGACTGACAACTGGGATGTGTTTAAATGGTAATACTACAACAAAAAGATGTCGAGTCAAGACTGCTGTGGCAGTGTAAGTGGAGATATGAGGTGAGTGATGAAATGTGAATGTGATTATGCAGCCAGCATTTCTGTTATTGTCATTCAATAATCAAGGAAGTTTATTCCATTGATCGTTAAGTAGGGAAGTTGCTCTTACAAATTCAAACGTGGACAACTCTGCCGACTCTGTACTTCTGCAATTCAGTGACTCTTTGCTGTTGAAGAATTCTGACTCAGCTTTAATTGGGTGAATAGGCACAATAGCTGAGCTTATTGTCGTCCCTGCTAAATTTTTTCAGATGGATATTGGCCACCTTACCCATTCATGAGGTACTCAATAGTTATTTGCGATGATAAGCATTGATGAACATCGACACCAACCTGAGAAATTTAACTCAATGTCCGATGTCTTTGCTCGAGTTTTCCGATCTCTGAGGAGAACTGAGAATCACCATGAGGAGCAGCAGCAGTTCTAACTTTTCTGAGCAGGTTGGCCTACTTCAATTAGGTGCTCGTTGGTCAGGTTGTGTCAACAACATGGTCTGGTAACGCCTATCCATTAAGTTGAAATAACCATTGTTTAGATCATGCTTTACTGGTGAGATAACACGTAGGTGCATCGGGTAAAGTACGTTTCCATCGTAATTAGGATTACAGATTAATTAGCTAATGCCTTGCAAAGCATTATTGGAGCAAATGCATGATTTGAGGAAGTTTTTCTCTAACCTTGCCCTCACACTCACGGAATCGCATTGAGCAAGAGGAAGCAATGGACTGTGTGTGTCCAAGTCCTTGATAGTGTCCGTGTCTATTTAATTATTTATGGTCCAGTTGTATGATACATCTTATATGTACAATGCAGTTAGTCAGAAATCAATAAAATTCTGTAACAAATGGCAAACATTCGTCAAAGCTCCAGCCGAAGTTGTGAATTATATGAGAGCCGAATGGTTACGCAACATTATGGTTCCAAGAACAAAACCAAGTAGCTGACAATCTTAGCATAAATTGGTATTCATGTTTCAAGATGCAATTTTAACAAGATGAAGTCTCGTAACATAATTAGTTTTACTAGTAGGATTTTTATCCCTTAGTTCACTTTCAAAGTGAACCAGGGCAAAAGCGAAATTCGTTTCCAATACAAAGAGCAGGAAAAAAGCTGTGCCGTTCGTCAAAGGTCAAAGCAAAATCCCTGCATCCGCCAATGTTGACCCGGACACATGTTCACACTGCATAGATGTACAAAAAATTCACGGGCAATAAGATTTAACAGCATAAGGTCGACACAATCATTCGCTAGTTAATCATGAAAGTGCGCCTTATACCACGACTAGTAAGCAGTAAAAAGCAACCTTGCAGAGCACAGGTTTGTACTCTTGTCAAACTTTCACCTGACATAGAGACGGATCTTTGTTTACCATCTTCACCACCCAGAAAGCAGAGATATCAGAGTAACCCACTACATTGTTTTGCATAATATTACGAAGCCGTCTCATCTTTATGGCTCTCCGTTCCACATGCACACAAAATTCCATATGGAAGAAGCCGAACAAAAGCATGTGTATGCAATTTCTTACCTTATACATCCTATCCCTTTCACATATATGCGTCCACCAGGAGTGATCAAAAAGGCCTGAACCAATCCAGAGTGCAAAATTGCGGGATGTTTTTCTCCATATTGAATGCTAGTGCAGTGGGTTACTAATCTCCCATCCAAACGCTCCCGAGCAGTAGGAAGATGTACATATACACTGTGCACCTATACTACGATCTGACAATCTAGTGCTTTAAGCTTCCATGAATTGGTCCTTAAAAACTGAATGAGAACATGATAACTGTTCTTATGCATATCAGTGACTTCAGTTATATGATAACCTTCGCTTTCACACTCCTGAACGTTTACTGATGCCACTTATCGTGCAATAAACCCAAGCAAATGAATTGGACTAGTGACAACTGCTCCAGCGGAGAGAATGCAAAACATTCAGAGAGCAGTCTTTCATTGGTTTTCTTGAACACCTTCAAGATTGAAAAAAATAATTCCCGCCTCTTCCATATAACCAGCCTTAAATAACCTGTCAATCATGCAATTCCAAGCAACCTGGTTCGAGCCAAGACTTAAAACTTTCATTTTGTCTAAATGATGATGAGCCCCCTTGATATCACCTGCTCTACACAGACCATCAATGATAATTTCTCTCTGTGTCTCTCCGGTGACTCTCCTGTCTATTTGATCAGAACCTTTAGGTCCTCCAGGACTAACTGAATGGGTGGTCTCTCTCATAACTGGGTTTCGATCACCTTGAGATATTATGCCCCTTTATGCTCCACAGCAGCCCTCAATATCTTGTAGAAGGCCATTAAAAGATTAAGTGCTTACTAATCAATATCCTCCAATCACGCTGCATGATCCAAACTCAAAAGGAAACTTCCATCCTGCAGTTGACTTCCCAACCTTATCAAGCATCAACACTTCTACAAATTCCTGCAAAGGACACCATTGTAACTGACTAGTGATGATTTTTCAAAGTCTCATCATTAAGAAAACATGAAATAATGAGTATAATGAGCTTAAAGATTGATAGAGAGTGTGCTTTAACGAATAATGACAGAAATTCTCAATTTATCAGACCATTTAATTATTTTTACTATAGTAGACCAGATAAAAGGAAAAGTCTGATTCTTACATTAGAAAATTGCTCAAAGTTATAAGTCTAAATTGTATCTCATGATCCCTTGTTATATATCCAAATTATATTTGATCACCCCTTGTTTAAGGCAGCAACTTTGGACATGCCCCGATGGACATTTGAACCACATTGATGAAAGCCAAGAATTCGAAAAATGAGCAATCCTGGACCAGGAAAAGAAAAACAGATTAGGACATGTGTACCAGTGTATTGATTCAAAGAATTACATCGAGAAAATTTCAAGGAAACTCCTTTTCAAAATGACAGCCAACTATGGATTTCAGCACATCGAATAAAAAATTATTATATGTTCTTTCCTCATCCTAGGAGCACTAAATGTAAAACCCAAGAATGATGACCCAATGTTTAGGACAAAGAGCTTGACTAATGCTAGGCAAGAGAAAACCACCAAGAGCGGTACAAAACCTAAGCAAAATACATGTGCAAGCTTTCAAGCAACATTAGAATTCAATACGGAAGCAAATTACTTCTTAAGGCCCCGACCAAAGCTTTTTTATTTCTCTTTAGTATGGGAATGGTTGACCCCCCCACCACAGCTCTAAGCAGACTCTCCAACCACAAAATTCATTTCACCGTTCTCCTCCTAAAATCCCCATCGAGGGGAATTCATCAAAGGCGAGTCTAATCTAAGCCAAATGATGATTACGTACTCAAAAAGCAACATTCCCTTGTACAGTCGAGAGATCCTTTTACAACATCAAACAAAAACTCTTGATTGTTCTACCCAGTGCATAATTTAAGAAGCATTTCTTAACTACAAAATATGAGTGGATACACATCTGAAGAGTTAAGCTTAGCACAATTCAATTCATCAAACAGAGAAAATTTTATCAATTAACTGTCTTCTGAAAGCATAGATTAACTGTTGTCTCTCATCTATGTATCCTACTTCATGTTTGAAACTCGTCAACCCCACAAAAGACACCTTATTGTGTAATTTCACCGGGTAGCAGAGTTGTCTACTCACATGATCCGAAGCAAGCAAAGAGGGCGAGGCCACTGTTGTCGTGGTAAGATGAACAGCCATTTTGAACGATTTTAGTCCGGTCTTGACTATGTGAAAAAAGCTCGTACTTAATGCCATAAAAAAAAGAGGGGCATGCACCCACAACTGGTGCTGGTTGAAATTAAAGCTTGAAAGCAATCGTGACACTTTTGCTGATGGCACCACAGGTAGTGCAATTTTTTGGCCTGAGAAAGGGTGCAACTTCCACATTAATATCGTGCCAACACTCGAGCCATCAAAATCTTTGACTTGAGCTTTTTGGCGTCTTTCCTATATCCCGACTCCTTGAGGCCACTAAGAACAGCCTTTTGGGCAGACTTGAGTATTTTAGATCCACTTTCCAAGCAAGAAAGCAGTATCTTGTAAGCACTACGAAATCTCCCAACTTTACAAAGATTGTGCACAACTGATGAATAGGTAAAATCATCTTTAGTCTCCATAGTCTTGAACAATTTCATAGCCTCATTTATATAACCAGCCTTAAATAACCTGTCAATCATGCAATTCCAAGCAACCCGGTTCAAGCCAAGACCTAAAACTTTCATTTTGTCAAAATGACGTTGAGCCCCCTCGATGTCACCTGCTCTACACAGACCATCAATAATAATTGCGTGTGTGTAGGCATCCCACTCCAGACCACATTTCTCCAGTTCCTCCACCACTGTGTAGGCAGCATCTAGCCTACCTTCCCTACAAAGCAGATTAATCAGGGTATTGTAGGATACCAAATCAAGCCCTATTCCATTTTTCACCATCCGATGCATCCATTGATTCGCCTCCTCTATCTTACCAATCTTAACTAAACCGCCAACTGCTGTACAGTAACCAAAGCCATCAAAAGTATGACCTTGATTTGCCATCTGCAAGAAGATCTCAAGCCCTTGTTCGTACTTCCTAAACTTAAAGCAACATTTCATGACTGTGGTGTAGGTTATGGCATTAGGCTTTTCATCTGTTCCCAAAAGCTCCATCAACATTGTCTTCGCGGCTCTCCATCGCCCTGCTTTGCAGAGCCCGTCGATAAGAAGATTGTACGTCACTAATTCCGGAACAACTCCATGCCGCTGTAAATTTCTAAACAACATGAGGCCATGAATAACATACCCATTCTTGCACAGCCCATTGATCAGGATGTTGAATGTATCTTGACCAGGGGTGAGCTCGCTGAGCACAAGATTCTGGAACACCTTGTAAGCTTCGTCCGGCTTTCCCACCTTGAAAAAGCAGTGCATCAGTGTGTTGTAGCTCCACCGGTCGGGATGTATGCTTAATCTAAGCATTTCGTCGAACAGGTCGAGGGTCACCGACAAAAACCGCTTCCGAGTGGAACCAGCGACCAACGAATTATAAGTGATCACATCCGGGCTTATCCCGGCTTCCCTCATTCGATGGATAACGCCGAGAGCCGCATCCATGCTGACGAAACGACAGTAGGCATCGACGAGAGTGTTGTAAGTCACCACATTCGGCAGCACCCCTAATCTTATGGCGTCGATTAGGAGGACTTCAGCTCTCTGCAGCTGCTGGGTTTTACACACGGAAGCTATGCAGATGTTCAGCAACCTAGTCGATAACCCCCCCACCATCCTCTGGATTCAACACACAAGACTCGCATCACCGGCAACAATTGCAGCATACAACGCGTAAAGATTGGATTTGTCTTGTGGGTTCTTCCTCCCACCCTTTGATTGATCCTCCGCGTCCGCAACGACCCAGAAAGGCTTGACGCCCGGGCTGACTGCTGCGGCTGTTCTTGCGAATGCAGGGTCAGCTAAGAAGTCTCGAATTTTGTGGATCAAGATTGCGAGCGGCGGGAATGGTTAGAAGTTCAAGAATCGAGAGGCAAAGAGCTGAGACGATGCACCTGCTGCTACTGCAATGGGCTTCGCTTCGGAGTTGGATCGACTTTTGTCGGGACGGCGCACCCCCCCGCCCGAAGTCGTGCTCTTTGAGGTCCTCCTGAGCACCGGCGACGGCGAGCGCAGCAGCTGAAGAGACGTAGAAAGTCCCAGGAAAAGGGCCCAAACCCAAGATTTAACAACACGGCCCATTTCGACGGCGGGACATGCCGGGCTGGGCCTTTATGACAAGACGGGTCGGCACCGCACGGGCCCCGTGTCGGGCCGACCCGGGCCGTGGCGGTCCGGTAGCATGTTCGATAGAATCGATACTTACCTGCACGGGATCGGTGGTCGACCGAGAAGGCCCCATGACCACGACCTAGGTTAATAGCCTCCGTTGCGCTTGGGAAGGGCACTTGGCTCTGAGCTTAAAAGATAGAATTCGCGACGGTAGCACGTTTGATAATGGTGCGAATGGTAACCATTCTGCTCCAGAAATCAAATTCTTGCCAGAAATTGATTTTTGGAGGAGAAATCTGTTTAGTAAAACATGACTAATTCTGTTCCAGAAATTGATTTTTGGAACAGAAATCTGTTTTGATTTGTTGATTTTTTTTGCACCTAAAAAAATTTAAATTTTACTCAAAGTGAGTGGCCACAGGTATTATAAGCCATTTTGTAAAGTTTTGAAATTTTTGATTTTTTAAATTTTTTTTTGGGCACCTAAAAAAATTAAAATTTCACTCAAAGTGGGTGGCCACAGGTATTCTAAACCATTTTGTGAAGTTTTGAATTTTTTTTATTTTTTTGGGCACCTCAAAAAATTTAAATTTCACTCAAAGTGGGTGGCCACAGGTATTCTAAGCCATTATGTGAAGTTTTGAAATTTTTTATTATTTTTTGGGCACCACAAAAAATTTAAATTTCACTCAAAGTGGGTGGTCACAGGTATTTTAAGCCATTTTGTGAAGTTTTGAAATTTTTTATTTTATTATTATTTTTCTTTTTTTTGGGCAACTCAAAAAATTTAAATTTTACTCAAAGTGGGTGGCCACGGGTATTTTAAGCTATTCTGTGAAATTTTGAAATTTTTGATTTTTTTGATTTTTTAAAAAAAAATTCACCAAATTTCATATTTTCCCGAAATCTGACTTTTTTTTATTTTATGGAAATTTTTATGATTTTTTCTAGAATTTTTCAATTTTTATGCATTTTCTGAAAAAAAAAATTATGAGAAAATAAGGAGAATACATTCCGGAATCAAGAAGCTACAAAAAGTAGCTTCTATTTTTCTTGCCAAAAACTCATTCTGGAATCAAAAATGCATTCCAGAATCAAGAATGCATTCTGGAATCAAGTATTTTTAACAAACGCATTTTTATTTCAGAATGCAAAAATCGCTCCAGAATGCATTCCGGAAATTTTTTAACAAACGTCATTTTATTCCGGAATGCATTCCGGAACAAAATTTTTATTCCGGAATGCATTTCATGCACACCCTAAGTTTCAGCGGGTCATTTCATAAAAATTGCATCGAAATCAGCACTTGTCACTGGCCGGAGTAGACATTTTAGTAAGATGTATTTCATAAGAAGTTACTAATCAATGTAGAAAAATTTTCAATCCTGGTTAACAAGTCGTCGTGAATCCGCATCATGCACCAACACAAATATAAGAATGATAAAAATAATTCGAGTATAAAGACATTATTATAGTATCCGAATATATATTTTCTTAGAAAAAGATAATTATAAATGAATGCTTTTTAGTCTTTTGTTATAAGAATAATCTGCACAGAATATTGTAAATGACAAAGTTACCTAGGAAATCAGGGTACTTGAATAAAAAACTTCACAGCTCTAATAATCTGAATTTAAATAACCCCAAATAAATAAATAAATGAAGTCTCTTTACTTTTAAGAGTCACAATTCCTTGAACAATTGAACTCCTCATGACATTAGAGGATGTAAAGTTGTGCTTGAATGGCGTTCAAGAGATCTACTTAGTTAAGAGTCATTAGGTTAGGTTTAATTAATGCATTTTGAAGAAAACATACTTAGTAGAACTGAAAGCAGAATATGATGTAAAACTCATTTCTTTGCTAGATTGACACAATCTCAGTCAGCCTCCTTGATTACCAGCTCAGCATCTGAAACTACTCTTAGTCAACAATTTGCTTGGTGGGCATAATCTTACTTAACTGAGATTAAAAAATATTATAAAAGGTTTAGAACAAAAATTGGCAAGAAGTGATTAAAAGTTTAGGATTGAATTAGTAAAAATGCAACAGATTTAAGACTTTTTAGATAATTTTTCCGGACATTTTATATATCATCTCTAAAAATCTTGTGTATATATATAAACCTTGCAAGCTTTTGTCAGACTTGCCATGGAAATCATAGAGAGGATAAGAGTCACTCCACTATCACCTCCGCAAATTAAGGGGAGTGCAACTTTGACACGGTGTCCATGTCGTTGGAGTAGGTGAAATGTGCTGAAGCTGCCATTAAGTGGTGCTGAAGAGAACATCAGAGGATAAGGGAGGCTGTGAATTTACAGTTTATACGAATTTTGTCAACAAACTTCTGTGATTATCAATGCACTGTCTCTATAATGTTATGTACAATTGGCACATCGAAAATCCAGACATTTTTTTTTGTCAAGTTTATATAATGAGTGCTCTTAGGACATTTGTACGGACAAAATTATTTTAAGCAATCCAATCCGATCGTGGATGTTGTTCCCACTAAAATTCGATGGTCTATATTAACACAAACATCAGTATCATTCTCAAATTATAAGTGTGCTGCGTGTATGTACGAAACTGTATTAGACTGTGTGTCACGATGGCATATCTAAGCTGGAGTAGGCGTGAGATCTACCGGCTCTAAACGACGCAAATACAGTTCAGTACATGTAAAAACATCTTTCGTGATTAACTGTGCTTAGCTTAAGATGTCGAACCGTTGCTTGCTTGATGCATGAGCCAACGACAATCCTCCACAGGGCCGACACGTGCCCTGTCCTTGCCTCGCGTGCGTTGCGTTGCGCTTGCTTCTTTTTGGAGGGGTTCGTCCAGATTCCTGGACGATGCGTGGCCATCGATCCGCCATGTCAGTATTTCTCTCTTCCACGCCAAAATTCCTCCCTCCTCATAATTTCTCATATAATCCAATTTATCTGCTCCAAAAGATCTCCCCCTGTTTTTATTTCTCTTGCCCATTTCTGTTCTCTCACTCTGTTTCTTCCTCTGTTTTCAAGAACTCCGCATTCGGACCATCGTTCCACGGCTTTTCTTTGCTGCATGCTGGGACGAGGATGGCTCAGTTGATGTCTTCCGTGTGCACGGACGCGCTCAAATTCCATAACCCAGTTCTCAGCCTGTGCTCGCGAGGTCCATGCAGAGTGTCCGCCAAGGCCGGCGCATGGAATCCGCCGGGGTGCGGCGCGCGGAGAAGGGCCTGCGGGCGAGTCAAAGTGGCCACCGACGACTCGGCTTCGCTGTACTCGGTGGCTGATGACTATTACGCGGTTCTGGGTCTGGTAGTGTTCTCGATTCACCAGCTGTTCGTTTTTATAACGAGAGAAGTAGATCGAGTGATTGATGAGACGTTTTTCTTTTTTTGCCTTTTTCGAAGAAACAATTGGTGAAATGCGATCGGAGGTGGATGAGTATGATTCGACTAGAGGGTCGTATCTTCTGCAAATTGAATTTTCGGTCTTGTTCGTGTTTTATTATTAGTTTGCTGCTTGCAAAACAGAATGCCATCAATGGTGTGTGGAGAAGCTTATGATCGAATGTGGGAGTGTGGATTTTGATGTTGCACTTAATTACAATCCTTGACTTCAACTATTTTTATCGCATGCGCTCGCGATATACGATGTAGATCTACTAAGAGGTTTCGGGAGAACTCTTTAGAATGTTGTGAGAAATGTTCATTGATTGTTAAAGCAAGTCAAACTGTTTAGTATGCAGAATCTCAAGCGTTTGCAGAAAATAGAACTTTCATAGTCGCATGAATTTCCAAGTAGTTCTTGAATGAAGATTTGGAGTATCTAGCATTTCTCTGCTATCATCAACGTGAAGTCCATTAAGCAAGCACTTTTGAAGCTATCATAAACAATGTAGAGAGCATGCTTGCACCACGACTAACATTTAGTATATCTGAGTAGATTAAGCTTTCTCACTGTTAGTTCTTCAGTGCTCATGTCGATTACGCTTACCGCCTTCAAGCTATTTCGGATATCTACTCGATGGCCTGTGTTTTCTTTTCAATCCTTGGGTTGTGTACTTGCGACCAGTTCTGGTCTTATCTGACACATATCGGAATCACTGTTCATGTAGCTTCCAGATGCCACACCGGCGCAGATTAAGAAAGCCTACTATAATTGCATGAAGGAGTGCCATCCAGATTTGAGCGGCAATGATCCTGAGACCAACAATTTTTGCATGTTCATTAATGACGTTTATGCGGTGAGTTTCTGTTCAATATGCTCTGGTACTTAACGACTCATGCAAACAAATGCATATGTGTGTGAACATTCCTTCTTATGCTTCTACTGCAGAGCTTTTTCTTAATCTCCTCCTTTTTTCCGCCGCTCTAATTATTCAATTGCAGTGCAGGTGCTCAGTGACCCTGTGCAACGTATGGTTTATGATGAAATACATGGTTATGCATTAACTGCACTCAACCCGTTCTTGGATGACTCATGCCCAAAGGATCATACTTTTGTTGATGAGTTTAGCTGCATAGGTACGTGGCAGCTTATTCCTGAAGCTGTTACTTGAGAAGGAATCTCTAATCTCTATAGTCTTGAATTGTGCTTTTTAGCACCTACATAACTTCTACTAGCATGTCCCTTTGAAAATATGATGTCTCTTGAGATTGCAAGATCATGCGGATTTGCACATCGCTCATTTGATAGTTTGGGGTTTACCCAGAAAAAAAAAAGGACAACAAAAAGGAGATCATGTTGATGTTCCATATCTCTGCAAACTTCTTTAGGTGGTCAGGCATAAGAGCCATATGCAATTCACAAGACAATGATAACTATGTGGAGTTCTAGAAATATGTCTGATTTAGTTGTAGTTGGCCAGTTGGGTTACTGCATGTACCAATTTTACCGTGAAGGCATCTTGAAAATGAACATATCCACTGATATGGAACTTAAGTTATGTGTATATCGAAAGTAAAGAGGAGTTGCAACTGTTGTCATCTTGTGAGGGGCTTTTCTTTGGGCCTTGTAAATTGAGATTGAAGCAGATTCTTATACCTGGTCCGATCTAGTTTATCAATTGATGCTTCCCTGCTTGCCTTTTTCTCAGTCTATCCATTTAGCCCTCTTGGAGCATATGTTTCTGCGTCTGTAAATTATAGTAAGTACAGACACAGTGTATACACATTAAACTTCTAGTATCTTTCATGTTTTGCTAGGTTGTAAAAACTGTGCCAATGTAGCACCTGATGTATTTGCGATTGAAGAAGACTTTGGAAGAGCTAGAGTATACAGCCAGTGTGGTAAGCCTGAATTAGTTCAGCAGGCAATTGATAGTTGGTACGTATTTGCTGATTCTGCCTGTTCTTTTTCTGTGGATGGATTTTCCCTTTATAATCATAGCTGATGATGATGATTATGTTGGCATTGCTGAAAATGATCTTACTATACAGCTGTATATAGATATATCCAATTAGATTTCTGTGGAACTTATTGATTCCTTATTGATTGCTTTGAATAATTAGCGTGATCTGGGAATTTCACTGTCGCCTTTCCAGTTATTATTAAATGCCATCTCTGGTTCCCATGAATTGCACCCAACATCAAATGCCTTCGAGTGTGACTCCTATTGTTTTTTTCTTTTGCAATACGTTATTGGTATTAGGGCATAGCTTCTGTGCTCTTTCACTTGTTGGTATTTTAAATTGCCATTTTCAAAAGTTTTAAAGTTTCATTGACTGTCAAAGTATGTCTAGAGGATTTGTACTTATCAGATTCTTCTGTAATTCAGTCCGGTTAATTGCATCCATTGGACTTCTGCTGCACAATTGTCTCTTCTTGAAGATGAAATGCGCAGGGTAGAGAGAGTTAATGTAAGTTATCTAATCCACACGATTCTGTCCAGTCGACAATTACAGTGTCTTCCTAGACTTAGGATGATGTCTATGACACTTTTATTTGCTTTTCATTGGATAAATTGGTCCAACCCTTGCCTTTTGTTTTTCTTACTAAAGGGTTCTTTTGAATGATGACAGGTTGCAATGATGCTTTCAGGAATGGGATCTGGGTCTGTGGATGTCTTTAGAGTGGTAAGAGTATGACAGTCATTTGACCCTTATCATTTGCGATTGGTTTTGGGTGATGTCATTGTGTTCTGGAAATTCTAGACTGGATTTGGAGTATATGTTTTTGTCAACTGTATCTTCTGCATATAGCGCTGTTGATTTAGTGAGGATTTGACCTGCTTCCTTGTCCCCTATTTGAAGGGGTTATAATCGCTAAAGTTCTGCCGGATCTTGTCTGTGATAGAGAAATTAAGATAAAGACACCCGTTAGGTTTTCGATATAGAAAGTAACATACAGGAGAAGTGCCACATGAGAGAGATGCGTTGCTTTCTGAAAATAATGGCATTGCAGCAGATTTAAAGCTTCATGGATGCCTCTCCTATCGCTCTCATCATTCCAAATCCATATAGGGCATATCAAGAAAATGAATTTGCAACACATTGCTTAGTTCTCCAGATTAGGTCCTCTTGGTGAATTTAGTGCGACATGCAAATAAGGTTTTCATGAAGATGACTGAACTTGGACTTGTTTCTTTGTAACTCAAGCAGTTTGTGGCTGCTATGGCAGGAGCTGAATATTCCTTCAAAACAAATGAAATTTCTTCAAATAAGATCATTTGGAGAAATTTAATTTGTTTTGAAGAAAAATTCAGCTCCTGCCATAGTAGCCACAAACTGCTTTAGCTACAAAGAAACAAGTCCAAATTCAGTCATTTTCACGCTCTAAATTCACCATCAGGACCTAATCTGGAGAACTAAGCAATTTGTTGCATATTCATTTGCTTGATATGCCCTATACTGCTCTGGAATGACGAGAGTGATAGGGGAGTCATCCATGAAGCTTTAAATCTGCTGCAATGTCTTTATTTTCTAAAAGTAACATCATCTCTCTCATGTGGCACTTCTACTGTACGTTACTTTCTATCTCAAAAACCTAACAGGTGTCTAATCCATTTGGACCCCTTAAGGTTCCAGGGAGCACGCTCAGTGTAGGGCATATCAAGCAAATGAATCTGCAATAAATCGCTGAGTTCTCCAGATTAGGTCCTGTTGGTGAATCTAGTGCATGAAGATGACTGAACTTGGACTTTGTTTGTAGCTCAAGCAGTTTGTGGCTGCTATGGCAGGATCTGAATATTTCCCTCAAAACAAATGAAATTTCTCTAAATGATCTGATTTGTGCAACCTGCATGCTTGGAATTCCTTCCTTTGTATGATTATTTAGAAAAAATTCAATTGGATTAGTTCTACTCATTGATTACCATCTAATCTGTTGCAGGCGAGTTCTCGATGGGAAAAGAGGCAGGCAAAAGTCTTGGTATGAAGCCTTCTTTAGTTTTTGTTAAGCTATTTATTTTGTGCTTAAATTCTTTCCATTAGAGCGTTTCAAATGTTTCGTCTGCTTTAGTAAAGTCTACAAACAAAGCCACACAAGTTGTAGTCCAATTTAACGCACGCTGGTCTATATCCTGTGAAAAGTTGGCTACTCGGTTTGGTCGCTCTATAAGAGCTCGAAGAACACTTTGAAACTCTTTACACAATGAATACTCAATAAAGTAAATTGAATTACCAAAATATGCACGTAATAAAAAACGCAGGCTTACCAATTAAGCACCAAATAGTTGAAAATATGAATTAGGATGTCTTCTAGAAGGAATTCTGTTGTCTGGAATCTATGAGCTGCTGTCAAATGGAAGCACAACCATATCAACAGCGAAAAGCTTACCAACTAAAAAGAAATGAAATTCCCTAGTCAATTGCTTGAATTGGAAAAAGGTAAATCAGCATGTCAGAAAATTTTGGCCCCCCAACCTGAGTTAATTGTTTTGGTTTAGACAAAAGACATAAATTTGCCAACATAAAAGAGATCTGTAGAATGGGGTTCCAGGGGGAAAAGGGAAAAAAAGAAGATAAACCTGTTGAAAATTTAATATGAACATAGTTTGTACACAAGTTATGCAAAAAATCGACTACTCAGGTCAGCTCCCATAGGGTGATTGGCATTGTGTACAACACCCAGGAACAAATTCACCGCTATGTGGCTGCTTTGTGGTTACAGCTTCACACAGGCTAGTTGCTGCCTGCAATTCGTCAGATCTACATGGCTTGTGTAGTCAACTTTTTTCCCAGCTTGTGTACACTGGTAAAACTTACAGAATTTTTTGTAAATGTAACTGCAAGTTCATGAAAGGACGAAATCATTGTTGGGTAGTTAATATGTCCCAAGATATATCATCAAAAGGACAGCTGAACCAGTTGTCATGATTGCATACTAATGCTCTTTTATAACTACAGTGGAATCAGGGTACTCTCCCCTGTCCTAGAATTCCTATTCGAACAGAAAAATAAAAATAAAATAGTTGCTTTACCGTTCAAACAGCTCTTGTTACCTATCGGTTTGTTGATGCTTTGCTTATTTAGTGGGAGTGATGGTCAATTACTCCCAAACTTTTATGCAGGAAAAAGCTAAAATTAGAATGATGCAGCAAAAAGATTCTGGGAAATCCAATTCATACTGGAGTGATCTCTGGGGCAAACCAAAGGAGTACAGAGACTCTGGTGAGAATCAATTGCGTGTTACTGACCAGCCCTATTGGCTAAATTTCGTCCTAAATAGTGTATATCAGCCTATTCAATGCATCCCTTTTTCTCAATGCTTTAGCTGTATTAGACACTTTGCTTGTGCTGGTTGTCATTTGGAAAGATCTATATCGAAACACGATGGCAAGGGAGGCTTTGAGTTTGTATCTTATATTTAGGATTATTGTCAGTGTTCAAACAAGGAAAAGTAAAAGGAAGAGATCGTGGAAGCTTAACTAGGTGGCCCTTCACTCGTTTTGATGAACTGCATGACTGCACTCAGTGATACGGATGGTTGGAATTCAGCATGTGACGTCACCATTATGGGATGGATTCTGTTTGACAAGATTCACAAGTGCTAGGCTGTTCAAAATATTTCAAGCCTATGTCTAATCCAATCTGTTTTTCTAGCGCAAGATTACCTTTCATGAGCTTGTAGTAGAGGCATATAAGTAGATAGTGAAATTCACTGCTTCTTAGAAAGTCGATGCTCATATCTATTTTGTTCATTTTCCCGAAGAGGAGGAAATCAACAAGAGAGCGAGGCGCGCAGCTGCTGCAGCTCGAAGATGGAGAGAATATTCGAGTAGGGGGGCCGACAAGCCTCCTACCTTCAAGCTACCCGAGGCTGCATCCAACACAGAAAATACTCCGTAAATTTTTCAGACAGTTTCCCATTCATAAAATTTCAGTGCAAGTATAAGCTACAGTCAATTTATAGGAAGCTAAAGCTATATATGGAGTCCTCTTCCTCTGTAATTATATAATTCATGTGGATCTCCCGAATTGTAAGTGATAATGAATTCATGATGGGAAAGATATATACAGGTGATATTTACATTAAAATGCCTCGCTATGAGGTGACTGATTATGGCCATGTGAGTTAGTGGCTTGGCCATTTTAAGACAGAATATTTTTGAAGTTACGGACTGCAGTGTAAAAGTTATGGCAGAACTAGAGTCCATTCTCCTTTCCAATCCGATATATACACATTTGGCATAGCTGAAGTAATCTGATAAAAAAATTTCCAGACTCGCCCCTACTCTCTTCCAATTTTTGCAAGTGCATCCGCACATCTATTGGCTTCTCTATATACGTCTTGACCCTTGATCCATTGATGAGATCGAGTTCTAATCTGCTGGCGCTCCGCTATCCGCATCGATGCTTTTGATAGAATCAACTTTCATTTTGAAGCAACAGAGTCTTTGAAGATGCGATTGCTAATTTGCTAGGTGAAGTCAAGTTCCAGCGCTCTGAAAATGCCACTGCTATTGCTACCCTCTCTCTCTCTCTCTCTCTCTCTGTGATAATAGACAAAGAAACTAAACTATCTCCGCATAATGCCAGCTTCGCTCCAACATCCCAACGAGTATGAAAGTTTGCTCTGGAAAACAAACAAGGACCAAAACAACCATTGGCATTATCTGATGAAAATAGTTTGGATCCTAGAGACCTTGAAGTCGTTTCTGTTAACATGGTATGTTTTTTATTGCCCCTTTCAACTGTTGATCTAAAGATCATTCTTAAAGTATATTTATGGATATAAGTAGTTTTTAGGTGGTCCTAAATAAAGAAATTAGAGTTTCGTTAGTTTTCTTTTTTTGTTTTCTATAGTTTTCAATTCCCAAATTATAAAAAGTGGATTTTCTTGGGTGTTGCTAGTGCTCCAACTCACAGCATTTCATCTTTAGAAACTATCCCAATTTTGGTTAACACTTAACAATGCCTACCATGGATGTTATTCATTGCGGCACTCTCTTTCATTGCGAGCCTCATCAACAAGCGAAGTCGCTGTCGGTAGCCAGACAGCTGTGAGAGCCGAAATCGAGCATACCTTCGTTGAGTAGCCAAAGTTGAGCATCATGGGGTGATGCAATTTAGTTTGTCGTAACTTAAGTTTATTTCCAATGGTTTTATCAAGGTCGTGAGAGAAAGTGGTGTCAACATTCAGATCATGTGTTTCTTCAGTGCTTGGCTTAAATCCGACCCGATGTATTCGCATCCTTGTCTAAGGAGGCTTACATAGTGCTTTGATCGCAGACTTGACTTAGGAAGAAAGTTGCATCTGTGATATGAAAACCGAATGCTCCAGCTCGAGATAGAGTGTCCAAATTTATTTATGAATATTAGCCAGTATTAGTAAGTACCATAATTAAGTAATTATGATTTTATTAGTGTCTCTCGTATTCTATAAATAGATTTATAAACATACTCTTTTACAAAGTTATTGAGTAAAATGGTAGTCTTTGACTCTTTTCTCTCTTCTTCTCTCTTAAAGGACCTAGAATATTTACAATCATCTTTACAGAGCCGGCGACGAGCCCATTATTCTGCCTTGGCCTTTACTTGTTTCTTCGATAGAATCGACTGTCGTCAACTAGGAATCAGATTTGTGATGTTTACAGAGCATCGACTGATGCCTTCAACATTCCCGCGCGAGAGGGCGTCTTCTGTTAATTGTGAAGAGAAAATGCTATTCATGATCCTCTGATGTTAGCTTGTTTTCTTCTTGTGTTGTTCGTTGGTGTTTGCGCTCCAAAATCATGTTTGTTCTTTTACATGTACAATCAAGAACAATTCTTCAAGTTTCGATCTTTTCTTTTGTTTCGCTTTATTGGATTGTCGTAGATTCCGTGCCATTGTGCCGGCACATCGAAAGCATCTACATATAGTGCATGTAGGAGAAATTTTCTTGAATATCTTAATCTAGCAATTCCAAGGTCCTTGCACTTTTCGATGGAGCTTAAAATGATTGCATTCTCACTTCTTGGCTTGAGTTCCAGTTTGTTGTTTTCATTCTCACCTCTATGCTCGAGCAGGCAAAATTGAGCATCATGAGGTGATGCAGTTTTGTTTGCCGCAATTCAAATTGATTTGGTTTTATCAAGAACTTATGACAAAGAAGTGTCAATTTTTTGTCTTACGGACCGCATCCCTTATCTAGTGTAAGGAGGCTCGCGCAGTGCTTTGGTTGTAGACTTTGGAAGAAAGATGGACGTGAATGCTCATGCTTGAGGGGAGTGTTGAAGTATATATATATAGATATTAGTCAATAGTCATAAATAAAAAAAATTAGGAATTTGTTAGTGTCTTTCATATTCTATATATATAGAGCCATCGATATATTTTATCAAGTTATCGAGTAAAGACGTGGACTTTGACTAATTTCTCTTGTCCTTCCACTTGAACTTTTTAGAATATTTACAATTGTCTCTATGGAGCCGGCAAGGAGACCATTATTGTGCCTTCACCTTCATTTGTTTCTTCGATAGAATCGACTATTGTCGGCTAGGTGCTAGATTTCTGAATGTTTACTGAGCATCGATTGATGCCTCCAACATTCATGCGGCAAGGGGGCGTCTTCCGTCAATCGTGATGAGAATAGGCAGTTGATGACCGTCTGATGTCAGCTTGTTTTCTACGTCTTGTTCGTTGTTTGCTTGCGCTCTCAAATCATGTTTGTTCCTAGATATCAACAGTCAAGAACAATTCTTTAAGTTTCGATCTTTTCCTTTGTTACCCCTTCTTGAATTATTACAGATTCTGCGCCGTCGCGCCGGCACGTGGGACGCATCTACATCTAGTGTATGTAGGAAGATTTTTTCTGAATATCTTAATCTGGAAATTCCAAAGTTCTTGGACCTGTCAATGGAGCTTTTAAATTGATTGCGCTCTCACCTCTAACCTCGAGTTCCAGTTTCTTGTTTTTCATTCTGCTCCTCATTCCTCTCTCTGCTTTCCTTGATAACTCTAATTCCATGTTCAGGTCCTGGAGCCTTTGCTCTTTCGTTTTCCTTCTCCTCCTGCCATTCTTTTCCGGTTTAGTCTATGCTCTAGTTTACAATACAACTGCAGGCCTTTCTACTAAATGGATAGCCCCAGCACCTGGCAGTCCGTTCCATCGTTATATTTTTCCCGTGGAGCACATTCTTCTGAGTGGGCACAATGGCTCGGGCACGGCATTCACATTTGGCTTCTACTACCCTCCTGACCAGAAAGTTTGCTATCTTGGCATTTTTATTGCTCGCACCTGGGAATTGGTTGTAGGTCCGGCAATGGTGTGGTCTGCTAATCGAAACAATCCGGTTAGTGCCAACGCCACCTTGGAACTCACGGCAGAAGGAGATTTGGTATTGACTGATGTTGATGGATCTGTGGCTTGGTCTACCCACACTATTGGTATGTCTGTTTCGGGCATGAACTTGACAGAGACCGGCAATCTTGTGCTGTTTGATAAGAACAATGCCACAGTGTGGCAATCTTTCGATCACCCTACAGACTCACTTGTCCTTGGGCAGAAATTGAAGGTCGGGCAGAAATTGACCCCGGGTACTTCCTCAACAAATTGGACCGAGCAAGGTTTACTTTCAATTTCGCTGACTACTATTGGTTTATTTGCCCAAACAGAGACTGATCCTCCGCAGGTGTATTACTCTGTTCCGATAGATTTCCCAAACACAAGCGATGACTCAAATGGTATTGAATTTATCAAAGGATGTTTGGCATTGTTCATGAATTCCCCGACAAATGGGTCTTTGCTTTTTGGTCTTGATACATCTGCGCAGTACGTGAAGTTTGAATCTGATGGACATTTGAGATCATATCGATGGGATGTATATCAGTGGAGTAGAAGAGATGATATTCTTTTGCCAGATGATACGGGTTGTGGCTATCCAACGGTTTGTGGTAAATATGGAATTTGTAAATCTGACGGGCAGTGTAGTTGTCCAACATGGAGCGAGGGGATGAGCTATTTCAAGCCAATGAATGATAGTGATCCTAAACTTGGGTGTGCGGAAATTGTTCCTTTGTCTTGTGAAGCTTCGCAGTTTCAAACCTTGTTGGAGCTCAATGGCATTTCTTACTTCACCTCCACGCAAATCGCCCCTGATATAAGGAATACAGATAAGGATAATTGCAAAGAGGCCTGTGCCAACAGCTGCTCGTGTTCAGCAGCTTTTTTCTACGATGATTCAGGTTCTTGCTACTTAGTATCTCAAGTATTTTCACTTGCATACTTAACTCCTAGTCATTCCATTGCTTTCATTAAAGTACAGAATGTTAGGAAAAGGTCGAACACTCTTAAGGTAATACTCACTTATAGCGTGGGGTCACTCTTTGCCTTAATTATTTTTTATGTGGTCATAAAATTTCTAGTTCTTGGGAGGCAAGAAGTCGATGAAGTTGGAGAGGACTACCTTGAACAACTACCTGGACTACCTACAAGGTTCACTTATGATGATTTAATAGCCGTCACTGAGGGTTTCAATAAGAAGCTCGGTGAAGGAGGTTTTGGATCTGTTTTTGAAGGTACTCTGATTGACGGCACAAAAGTTGCTGTAAAACGGCTTGATGGGTTACGCCAAATCAAAAAATCTTTTCTAGCCGAGGTTGAGACTATTGGCAACATTCATCACGTCAACTTGGTAAGACTCATTGGAATTTGCGCTGAGAAGTTTCACAGGCTGCTAGTCTATGAGTACATGTCCAAGGGTTCTTTGGATGAGTGGATCTTTCATAAATCGAAAGGGTCGTTTGTGCTTGACTGGAAAAAGAGGAGGAAGATAATTTATGACATAGCTAAGGGCTTAAATTATCTGCACGAAGAATGTAGATGGAAGATAGTTCACATGGACATTAAACCACAAAATATTCTCTTGGATGAAAATTTTAATGCTAAGGTTGCTGATTTTGGCTTGTCTAAGTTGCTTGATAAGGACCAAAGCCGAGCTGTGACTACAATGAGGGGAACTCCAGGGTATTTAGCCCCGGAATGGTTGAGCGCAACAATTACTGAGAAAGTAGATGTCTATAGCTTTGGGGTGGTAGTTCTGGAGATAGTTTGTGGAAGGAAAGTATTTGATAGATCTCAGAATGAGGAAGACATGTATCTACCTGGAGTTTTTAAGAGAAAGGCCGAAGAAGGGCGACTGCTGGATATGATTGACAACACTTTAGAGGATATGCAACTGAATCGACCCCACGTGGTCAATATGATGAGTATTGCTGCGTGGTGCTTACAAGGCGATTTTTCGAAGAGGCCTTCCATGTCAATGGTCATCAAGGTGTTGGATGGAGTTATGGAAATTCCAGATACCCTAGATTATGACTTCTCTCATCGCACCTTGATGAATATTAATGTGATAGTTGGCCAGGAGAACATTGATATTGGTGCTCCGGTTTCTGTGCTACCCTCAATCCTATCCGGTCCACGGTGATCTTTTACATAACATTACTTCGATTTGTCTTCTATAGCGTCGTTTTGAGTTTTTGGCCATTCAATGTTGTTGTATTGTTGCCGAATCGCGGTCGAACTATTTCCTACTATAAAATGATACATGTCTGGACACTGAATTCAAACGAATTTGACGGACATTATAGTTGCTGATTATAGTTTCCATAGACAGTCAAATGAGTTTGAGTGCAATCATTTACAAACCTTATATGTTAAGAGTGCTTAAAGTGAGGTGGTGTTTTTTTTTTCTCTTGGCGAGGGCCCTCCTTATGCAGAGGACATATAGGAATCACACGGCATGAAGGAGCTGAACGAAGCGATTTTAGTCGTCGTCATCACTGCTTGAAATTGCCATAAATGCAAAACATTTTCATCTTGATTGGCCAATTTTGTGTATCACTTGAGAGATTGCGTGCCCGAATCCCTCTGTTCAGGAAGCTGGTTTTGGTTCTTATGACGTCCGTCCGAGCGCCAGGACGTCGCTGGTGATCCAACAACTGCCCTCCAAGTGAGGACGACTCCCAGCAGGCCCCCTCACTCCCTTGACCGCCCAACCCCCATATCTCTCTACATCGCCTCCTTGCCGTGAGAACTCGTCCACCAGGAATCGACCACGGCCGTTGATCGCCAAAAATCCAGATGGGGCCACCATATACCCTGCTCGACCTCAAATCAACCGATAGGCGAGGTCTAGGGCTCGCTCGAGCTTAGATCCAAAATCTGAGGCTCGAGTGCGCGGGCCGAGCTCGAGTTTGACGACGGCGAGGATGAACTGCGGCCAGGCTAGTGGAGACCGGAGGCGAGGGGCCATCGGCCTAGAGCAGAGGCTTTAATGGTGGAGATCTGTGGCTGAGGGGTTAGGAAAAACAGAGATCTCAGCGGCGGTTGAGGGCGGAATGAGGATGATCGGCTGCGGTGGTGGAAGTCGGCGAGGTGGTGATGGACAGACGGCTGGGACAGCGGTGAGGTGGTGGTGGAAGGCGGGTCACGGGCTGAGTCGACGTCCGGTTATCGTCGACGGCGGAGTGAAAGGAAGAACGAAGAGAGGAAAAAAAGAACAAAAAGAAAAGGGATATGTGCACTAGAAGTCCTAAAACTCGTCACAAAAGTGCACTTGAGTCCTAAAACTTTCAAAAAGTACAAATAAGTTCTAAAACTTGTCACGAAAGTGTAAATAAGTCCTAAAACTTATCACGAAAGTGCAAACAAGTCCTAAAACTTTCAAAAAGTACAATCAATGGAATGACTTGATTGAACCAATTTGACAAGTTTTAGGACTTGTTTGCACTTTCGTGACAAGTTTTAGGATTTGTTTGTACTTTTTTAAAGTTTTAGGACTCAAGCGCATTTTCATGACAAGTTTTAGGACTTGTTTGTACTTTTTGAAAATTTTAGGATTCAATTGCGCTTTCATGACAAGTTTTAGGATTTTGAATGCACTTATCCCAAAAGAGAACGAAGGAAAAATTGGAAAAACATATATAATTATGAGGCTGCATACAACTAGACCTGTTAAATGGGTGGATCGGGTCGGGTTTGGGTCGAGTCATAAATGGTCCGACCCAAATCGACCCATTAACCCGTTTATGACCCATTTATTCTTAGTGTAAATATCTCGACCCATACCCGACCCGACCCATACCCAACCCATACCCGACCCGACCCATATTGCTAAAACCCTTTTATATTTAACCTAATCTAGGAATACTTGTTTCTTATGATTTTTTTTTTAAAATTATACTGCTAAAACATTTTATGCAATACAAAGCTAGTGAAAATTTTTTATAATATTTTTTAAAATTGAGGTTCTGTTTGTTTTACGAAAAATGCGACATTTCTAGAAAATATTTTTCATAAAGTCATTATCCAAGAAAATAAAAAAATTAATATTTTTTATTTTTTAAATCGAATTTTTAATTATTTTTTATTTTTCTTTTTTTCTTTTTCCTTTATTTTTGGCCGATCGCCGGCCGCCGTGGCCGGCGACCGACCACAGGCGAGCACGAGCTCGCCGGAGGCCGGCGAAGCTCGTTCTCGCCGATCTGGCGAGGACGAGCTCGTCGGAGGCCAGCGAAGCTCGTTCTCGCTGATCTGGCGAGGCCGAGGCCTCGCCGGCCTCAGGCGAGGCTGGAGCCTCGCCACAGGTCGGCGAGGCTGGAGCCTCGCCGGAATCGGGCGAGCTCGAGGCTCGCCAGATCGGCGAGCTCGAGCTTCGCCGGCCTCCGGCGAGGTCGTCCCGCCCCGATGGCCGGTCGCCGTGGCCGACCACCGGCCGGAATAAAAAAAAAAGAAAAAGAAAGAAGAGAAAAGAAAAAAGAAAAAAAATAAAAGAATAAGAGAAAAAATAAAAATAATTAAATTTCGATTTTTTTTAAACATCTTTATAAAGAGAAAGAGAGTGTGTGGATGGGTCTAGTAGGTGGGTTGGACATGGGTTCCAAACTCAACCCATTTAGACCCATTTATCTTTAAGCTTTAAAATTTAAAACCAATTTAAGGTTGACTCTTTAAAATTAAGTGACCCATATATGACCCATTTATTTTTAAATGGGTCATATATGGGTTTAAGACCCATTTTGACACCTCTACATACAACACAGAATGTACTATGTAAGTTTTTCGCGCAGTTTCCCATTTATAAAATATCTGATGAAAATAGTTTGGGTCCTAGAGACCTTGAGGTCGACCGTGTCAACATGGTATGTATTTCGTTCCCCATTTCAACTGTTGATTCAAAGATCACTATTGAAGTATATTTATGGATATTAGTACGTAGGTATTAGGTGGTAAAAAAAATAGAACTAGAGTTTTGTTAGTTCTCTTTTGTTTTTTGCTTTCTATAATTTTCAATTCCCAAATAAAAAAGAGGCTTTTCTAGGGTGTTGCAAGTGCTCCAATTTGGGACAGTTCATCTTTAGAAACTTTCCCAATTTTGGTCGACACTTAACAATGCCTACCATGGGCGTTATTCATTGTGGGACTCAAATTCAATTGCGAGCCTTATCAATGAGCGAAGTTGCGGTCACGTATCGAGATAACTGTAAGCGCTAGAGTCAAGCATACCTTCATCAAGCAACCAAAGTTGAGCACCGTGGGTGATGTAATTTAGTTTGTTGTAATTTAAGTCGGTTTTCAATGGTTTTATCAATGTTGTGTGAGTAAGAGGTGTCAACGTTCATACACGTGTTTCTTCGGCAGTTGTCTTAAATCCGGTCCAATGTATTCACATCCCTTGTCTGAGACTTGACTTAGAAACAAAGTTGCACTCGTCGTATGAGAACCGAATGCTCTAGCTTGCGGGGAGTGTCGAAATTTATTTATTAATATTAGTCACTTGTATTTTTTTTTTTTGTCGGTCCTACTCTATCTCTCACTCACGATACACATTCAGACTTGCGCCCCACCTCTTGCAGGGCGTGGGCATCGAAACCCACATCTTAAACTACGCGGCCCCACCCCTACCCCCTGCGAAGGTGGGGATTCGAACTCCCCACCTCCCCCTTCTCAAGTGAGAATGGTGGCTACTGGGGTAAACCCCCAGTGGTTAATATTAGTCACTTGTAAGTAGGTACCATAAATAAGGAAATTACGATAGATTTATAAATGTACTCTTTTATCAAGTCAATGAGTACAATGGCAGTCTTTGACTATTTTTCTTTCTTCCTCTCTCTTAAAGGACCTAGAATGTTTACAGTCATCTTTACTAAGCCGGCAACGAGCCCATTATTCTGCCTTCACCTTTATTTGTTTCTTCGATAGAATCGACTATCGTCAGCCAGGAATTAGAGTTGTGAATGTTTACAGAGGATTGATTGATGCCTTCAACATTTACGCGCAAGGGGCATCTTCTGTTAGTTGTGAAGAGAATACGCTATTCATGATCCTCTCGTGTTAACTTGTTTCTTCTTTTGTTGTTCATTGGTTGTTTGCGCTCTAAAACCATGTATGTTCTTCGATATCAACAATCAAGAGCAATTCTTTAAGTTTCGATCTTTTCTTTTGTTTCCCTTTATTGGATTCTCATGGATTCCATGCCGTCGTGCCGGCACATGCGACGCATCTACATCTACTGCATGTAAGAGGATTTTCCTGAATATCTTAATCAAGAAACTCCGAAGTTCTTTTGCACTTGTGAATGGAGCTTAAAATGATTGCGTTCTCACCTCTAGGCTCGAGTTCCAGTTTCTTGGTTTTCATTCTGCTTTTTTCAATCCTCTCTCTGCTTTCTTTGACAATTCCAATACCATGTTCACATGCTGGAGCCTCCGCTCTTTCCTTTCCCTTCTTTTCCTGCAATTCTTTTTCGGTTTAGTCGCTCGAGCTTACCTGGGTCCAACTGCAGGCCTTTCTACTAAATGGATAGCCGCAAAATCTATTTGGTCTTTTCCACTAGGTTTGCCTTCTGGCTTTTCGCCCAATCTGCTGAGAAGAATTTATGGCTCAAACGATATGTGGCACCTACTTCACTGCCTATCCGAAAGTTTGCTGTTTTGGCATTTTTACAGCTTGCATCGGCAATCATGTGCATTTTCAAGGACCAGCAACGGTGTGGTCTGTCAATCGAAACAAACCGGTTGGTGCCAACGCTACCTTGGAGCTCACGTCAGAAGGAGACTTAGTATTGACAGACGTTGATGGGTCTGTGGCTTGGTCTACCAACACTACCGGTATGTCTGTTGCGGGAATGAACTTGACAGACACCGGCAATCTTGTGCTGTTTGATAAGAACAACGCCACGGTGTGGCAATCCTTCGATCTCCCTACAGACTCACTTCTCCTTGGGCAGAAATTGAAGGTGGGGCAGAAATTGACCCCGAGTACTTCTGCATTGAATTCGAACGAACATGGCTTTCTTTCACTTTCGCTGACTACTATTGGTTTATTTGCCCAGATAGAGACTGATCCTCCGCAGGTGTATTTCCCCTTTTGGATAAATTTTCTGAACACAAGCGATGACTCCAATTATATTGAATTTATAGAAGG